ACTTTATTTAATCTATAAAATTAGAATTATTATTAGTATTTAAAAGATTAGCAGAATTTTATAGATCTTTTGTATTCTTAAAATTTATAAAATTTGTAGTATTTTCAGAATTTTATATTAATAAATTATTATATTATATTATTTATGTGACTTCATTATTATTGGTTAATTATTTTACTAATAGAGTATTAACTTATATAAATATATTTATAATTGTAATAATTATAAAATTTATATTATATAAATCATTTTTATTATTTGTTAAAATCTTTTATAAATTTACTAATTATTATTTAACATAAAATTCAATAAATAATTTAGTTTACTAAAATAATTTTAATTTTTCCTTATTTTGTTATGTATTTTTATTATTTTTAATTTACTTATATTTTATTTATTAAATTAATTAATTTATAATATAATAATTAGTTAGTCATAATAAAAATATTTGTATAAATAGATAGATTTTTTACTTATATTATAAATTAATTCTTTTGCAACTATAGGTTTTAATATTATAATAAAGAAATTAATTAAAATTTATATTTTTCTGCCTTTTTATATTTTTATATAATCTAACATATATAAAATTTGTAATTGAGTTTATCATCTAAATTTTTTAATTAAATTTGTTTGTAATCTTATTTTTCAAGTTTTCATATTTTAATAGATTTGTTAAATTTAATACATAATTTAATAAAATTAAAAGCTAGATGAATCTTAATATCTTAACTATAGTTAGCAATTATAAATTAAGAATATAATTAATCTAAATTAAAAAATTTTATAATAATAACATATAAAAATCATGTTACAAAATTTTTTATGAAATTTTGAATTTTTATTTATATAAATCATTATTATTTTATCTATTTATATTATAATTTTATAACTCATTAACTTAATAAAATAATGTAAAATAATGTTAAATGTAAAAATCTCTTAAAATCTAAATTTAAATTTTGGTAATGAATAATAATATCTATAAATTGTTGATTTAATTTTTATTTGCAAATAGTTCATTTCATAACTTTAAATTTTTTTAAAATTTTTTCAGTAATTTTATTTAAATTTTTATAATTTGTAACTATAATCATAAAGAGTAGATAATATTAATAATAAAAAAAATATTTTTAAATAAATAAATTAATTAAATTATTAAAATACTTATTTTTTTTTTTATAGGATTAAAATAAGTCTTATAAGAAAAAATAAAGTTTTTTTTAATTAATTAAAATTAAAAAATTAGTATTTATTTATTTAATTTCTTTTTGTAAGTACTAAAATTTCAGATTAATCAAATCAGAAATGAGTTTTATAAAGGAAAAAGTTAAATATAATAAATTAATAAATTATTTAAATTAACAATTTAATAATTTATTTACCTCTTTTTATTTTGTAGATGTCAAAAACCTTAAATTAATTAAATCAAAAATGAATCATATAAAGAGAAAAGAATAAATATATTTTTAATTAATTAAATTAATAAATTAAATAAATTAATAATTTACTAAAATTTTCCTTTTATAAGTATTTAATTAATTTAATTAAAAATGAATTTTAAGGTAAAATTTTTAATCAATTAAATTAATAATTAATAATAACTTATTTTTTCTTTTTGTATATATCATAATTCTTGAATTAATTGAATTAGGATAAATTATATAGATTGATTACTAGGAAAATTAGGTTCTGGAAATTTTTTAGCAAAATTAAAATTTTTATTGCATTATAGTTTTTGATGTTATTAAATTAAAATGTATTATTAAGCTCTTAATTTTAGTTAAAAATTTCTCAGAACCTGATTTTTCTAAAATCCTCTCTCCTATATAAAGGAAAAAGAATAAATATTTTTTTATTTAATTAAATTAATATATTAAATAAATTAATAATTTACTTACCTTTTTTCTTTTTGTAAATGCTGAAATTCTTGAATTAATCAGATTAGAAATAAGTTCTATAAAGGAAAAAAAGTAAATATTTTTTTAATAATTAAATTAATAAATTAAACAAATTAAAATTTACTTACTTTTTTTTTTATAAGCATTAGGATCTTTAAATTAATCAGATCAAAGACAAGTTATATGAAATAAAAAATAAAATATTTATAAAGTTGATAAATTATTTAATTAACAATTTAATAATTTATTTACTTCTTATTTTTATAAGTATTAGAATTCTTAGATTAATTTAATTTGAAAGGATTCTAATATTTTTTTTATTTTAGAAATTATTTTTTCTTTTTTTTATAATTTTAAATTTTAAATTTTATTTTTTTATAACAATGGATTTTTAACTATGTTTATTAAATCTTTTTTAAAATATTTTTTTAATATTTTAAGTTATTATTTAAGTATATAAATAAATTATTATTTTTAAAAATTTTAATTTATTAAATTTTTTAATAAAATTTATTAAAGACCAAAAATGTTTTATTTATAAAATATTTAAATATCATTATTATTACTAGCAGAAAGAAAAATACAAAATATCTTTAGATTCTTTGTTAACATATTAATGAAATTTTTTTTACAAATACTATTGATATTTTAATTTTAAAAATTAAGTATTAGGAATCAAAGAAAGTTAATTGAAATTATAATTATTATTTAAAAGAAGAATAAATAGAATTTCTTTATTTTCTGATTCTTTAGAATAATAAATCTTATTTAATTCTGATTTAAAAAATTGAAAATAATAAAATTTGATTATATCTAAAAGTCTTTTAAAATATGATAAAAGAAATAATGTAAAATTATATCAAATTTAACCTGATTCTTTATTATATTATATATTACTGCTTTATTTATAGTTATAAATATATTAATTATTTGTTCAACATTATTTATTGTATTAATTTTATTTTTATAATAAAGTTTTTAAAATTTTCAAAATACTTATTATATGTGAATTTAATATTTTTTAGAATTTAATTCTATTTCATCAAACCATTTTATTATTATTAATTAAAATCAAAATTATAAAAAAAACATTATTTTTGTTTTTCAATTATAATTATCACATATGATTTTTAAAAGCTTTTTTCATTTTTTAAAAAATTTATTAAGTGAATGAAATATCATGTTAATAATCTTAATAATAGTATTAGTTCCCTTTACAATTTTAACAGGAAATTCATTTTTTCTAACAATAAAATTAAAGTTATTTGTTTATATTACTAGTATTACAAATACCAAAAATATGAGAAGCAAAAGTTTTCTTAAAATAAATCGCATTTATTTATTAAGATAAATGAGAAATAGAAACATTTTGAGTTTAGTCATAATAATGTTATTATTTATTTCACTTAATTCAATATTTTTATTATAATAATTATATTTGATATCAGCTTGAGTTTTATGATATTAAATTTTTTTGTAATAAATAAATATTTCTTACTTGTTTTTTTTGCTAAAATTAATTGTATTTTAAATGATTAGCATGTTTCACATAAATTACTTTCATGTTTTCAAATTTTATTTGTGGTATTAAAGATATATACTAAGAACTTATACATCACTACCATATTCTTATAATTACAAATGGATTTATTTGTTATTAAAGCTAAGAAATAAATAAATGTCATTGAATTAGTTCAATATCTTAAGGGAGATGATAATCCAGGAATTTGTGAATAATCAGAGATAAATGTTTTAATAATATTTTTTAATTCAGATGTAATTATAACTTTTGATAATAAATGTGATATACGTCCTGTATTTCCATGAATTTGTTGAGTAAGACCATTTTTTTGAAAATCTGTTGTAGAGTTTTAAGATAATATTTTGTAATTTCAACCATTCTTAAATAAGTATTTACATAACATTAAAAGATTGATTATAAGAATAATGATAATTCTAATGCATTTTTTTGAGAAATATTTTGCGAAATTTCAGAAATTTTTTTGTTATTATAAGCAAATCCATCAATTGACCTTTAATAGTAAAGTCCAATTGTTGTTTATCTAATTTACTAAATTCAATGTTTTATAAAAACTGTTTAAATCCAATTTTTCGAAAAAGTATACATATCTTTATTATTTTTAGATTTTCTATAATTACGTTGATTACTATTAAAAAATTCAATTTTTTCCATTATATTTCATATTCAGCATATTCTTCTAATCCTAAAGCAAATAAATCATAAGAAGGTAAAGACATTATGTTTGATAAAAATGTAAAAAAAAACATAAAAAAAATAATATTAACACAATCAAATTTCAAGTAAAAAATTTTCCCATTATTTTTCTAAATTTAATAATTAAAGTCAATTTTTGGACGCTACTACTAATTTATTACTACTACCACTATGAACCTAATCCTAATACTAAACCTAATCAGTTTAGTATATTTCAAATAATTATCGCATTTAAAATGAAACAGTACTGCGCCACGTTCTTTTTTTAAAAAATATAGGTCGGGATTTTGGGTATGTCGGGATTTTGAAGTCGGGATTCTGGATTGTGGGTGTCGGGATATTTGTAGGAATAGTGTTAATGGGGAAAATTGTTAAAAGTTGCTTGAATTATTATGATAAAAAAAGCTGATTTTTAATTCCAAGTTTTACATGGTTTGAACAGAATTTATTGTGAGATAAATACGAATAGTGCAAATGTAAACTTTGATAATATTCACTATCGATAAAAATAATAAACAAATAAATTAAATTTAGAGAATATCTATTATTTTGCTAATATCGTATTAGTGGAGTGTGCAATAGGAAATATATTGAACCTCTGTACAATAAAAAATCGCTTTCTATAAGTAACAAAAGTCGTCTATAAAAGAAAAAGCCAACTTTAGTAAAAAGTAAATTCATTCGATTGTGTTTAAGCAACGCAATCTTGTAATCCTAATCACTTAATAATAAACATGTGGCCAATGATGGAATTTACTAATCAAGAATAACCCATTATTTAAGATTATAATTCACTTTATTAAACCTTAGGACCCATTGGCGATATTATAAAAAAATATTTCCATCATTTCAAACCCTTGAACTTAATCCGCGAGGCCATCCAATATCTCTTTTATTTTATAATCTTCCCCTCCAATGGAATGTGGATCTTTGTCATGAACTTTTATCAAGAGCGCATGCAATACACATGAACTTTCTTCAAAGCAAACAAATTGAATCTCTTCTTCCGAAATATGACCCTTGTACAACTTATGAATATCCCTCCTTCCTAATGTGTAAGACCGTTCACCATTTGTAAAATCAATAGATTCGGGTTTTTGCCTAACCATAAAGATCGTTTGGATGTATTTACCTAACCACTTTACGGTTGGCGCATATTGTTGAGCATACAATGGAATTTTGGAGGTATAAATCCCCTCGCCATATACCGTTCCATGTTTCGATTTAACTATATCATTGCCCGCACGCGACCCAGGCTTCTTTAAACCAAACTTAATGATGCTCTTGACGTTCTCCGTGAAAGTTCCATGGTAACTGTAATTCCATTGGTAATTGTAAAATAGATGTTTTCCTTGCTCTAGAACAAATTTGGAGCATTTTGATGGTCGCAAATATCGATGTCCACCACGCCTTTCGATATGACAGTAATTTTCTAAATAATAACAATTATCCATATGACTAAAGATAGAATCATCTAGCATCAAATACTCTTTAATGAACTTGCGGGATAATTCATATTCGGAATTGCTTTCAAGCTGTCTTCGACCGTACAAATATCCTTGATTATTTACAGAATATAACTTCATTGCGTTGGAGATTTTGAAAACTTTTTTTTTTTATTTTTTTTTTTTCGCATATATATCATTATCATTTCCAAATTGGCCAAATTGGGAAACAATGACCAACGCCGGAAAAATAAAATTTTTTTTTGACATGATCCCTTTATTGTTTTTACCATTGTCCCATAATACAGTATGTAAGAAATATATCATAAGCACTTTTGAACTTTGTAAATCAATGATTTTAAAATATTTTATAATTGAAAAGGCGCTAATTACATAACCCGAGAATACCCATATATGCAGTGAGCTTGAGAAAAAAGACTTGTAAAATGGTAGTAACTAACGAGAGAGCATTTGCAGATCGATCAAGAAATTAGCTGTAAATTTACTTGACACTGATATAATTTCTGCTTTATCGATTTTTCACATGGAATTAGAATTCACACATGGTAACATTAAAAACCTGTTTTAATTTTTTGGTACTTAACTTATAAGTGGCCAATATATATAGAAGTATATATAATAAACAACTTATACCTTACCGGAAATATTTATTCCAAAAGAGATTATTATATCACAGTTACCTAAATTTAAAAGAGTGCCAAAGAAAAAAGAAGGCAGTTCTTTTTTAACGAAAAATTAGAAATTAAAAATTAGGATTATTTAAAAAAAAAAAAGAAATCAAAATCAAAAATTGTTTATGGAAAAATCCCACAATTTTATTTCCTATTTTACAAAATATAATGCGATGTCACGCGACTTTTGTCGAAAAAATATTGTCAATACGCTAATATATGGGAAGTTGCTATCACGAACATTGTTAATCATGTGATCCATAACGTGGTTTTAAGCAAACCTCCCATATTAATATCATGAGTACAGTCCGATATCTACAACAGAAAATTTTTTTCTTTTACAATTTTCATCGGCATTTATTGCTGATTGGATCACCTGTATGTGCAACAAGGTCGTGCCTTCTAACCTTACAGCTTTCCATATTGACGACGTTTCTGTTGGCCAGGGATGTTCAAACTTTAAAGAATGAGCCACTGTTAGCATCACTATGTGGGAGTGTACCTTTGATTGAAACTTCGGCTTAATGTTGAAAATAAACAGAAATGATCTTTCTGTTTCGTCGTATATCGAACTACAAATGTCTTTTCAGTAATTCACGATAAACCTTATGCCGACCCTTAAAATTACAAGAGAAAAAATTTTACACACCTATTTCAATTTTGTGGTGTCGAATGAAAGTTTATACATTTGAATTCGTAATATTTTTGGATCACACACCATTTCAATTTAAAGAATATTTTTAACCTTTATTAATTTTGAGGCGTAAGACACCTGAAAGATTTTACTATAGTTGGTTGCTTGGAAAATCTCATTTTTAACAAATGGCAAAGATCGAAACCTTATATTTCGACGGATTTGACGAGATTTTATTATGGTTTCGAGTTTTGACGGTTTGGTTATTTTGAATCAAACAATATTTAACTTCTATTGTATATTGCATTCTTAAAGGTTAAAATACCTATTTTTTAACGAATCAGAAGCAAAATTTCTAAATTTCTACTTATTATTCTCAAAAAATTATATCTTCAAAAATTTTGTTTGATGAATATTATTTATTTTTTTTTTTTTTACTTGACTTATTTTGAAGAAGCTAAACAAAGAAGTATTTTAATAAATCGAGAAAACAAAAATAAATATTGTTAAGTTCATTTTAATCAGTACATTTCTCTATTTTTAAATTTGATGCATGTTTTGGAATTTAAATTAAAAAAAAAAAAAAAAAAAATGCCAAAATAAATAAATATATATCATGGACAACTTAGATTAAAATCACAATCGATCTAATATATGTAATTCACTAATTAAAATGATTTTAAAAGAATAATTATAACAATCAATAATATTCCTTTAAAGGAAATTTATCAAAGTCTGAGAGCGCAAAAGCAAGATATAAAGTGGGGCAAGCATTTATTTATTGACATTAATTTCGACGTCTTATGAAATAGCGTGTTATAAATATTTTTAGCGTTTGTAATCGAAAAATAAAAAGGAGCAGGGAAAAATTGGTTTGATAGTTATTACATCATAAACCAAAGTTCAAAGCATATAACAGTTCAAAGTATTTTTGAATTCGATGCAACGGCAATTCCTAAAACAAAGATTTGCGAATCGCGAATCAAGTTGCGCAGCATAATCTTTTTTATATCAACAATTTATTTTGTTTATGAAATACGTATTAAGTTTATTCCCAAATGAAGTAAAAGAATTTTCCTTTTAAATGCTTTCTTTTCGAGCGAAAATTCTTAAGTCTAGTCGAATACTCCTAAAAAAAAAAAAAAAAAAATTTTTTTTTTTTTTGCATTAATTGGAACTTACTTTCAAAAATTCAAAAATGATAAACATTTTATTAGAATTTTCATTATTCTCATTAATAAAAATTTTATAAGTTTCTCTCTTTAATAGATATAAATTA